AAATTAGAGATTAAATTTTGGATTAGTAATTTTAAAATGTTGTTTAATTTTATAATAATATATGGGTTAKGTATAGTTATTCAATTTTAAAATTTTAACCTGGAGGAGTTTACATGTCATTTTTATACACTAGATAAAAATTTGTGTGCAGCTTACATCTGTGATTTTGTATATACCCTGTACTTTGGGTGTAGTTTAAAATCACCACAAAGGATAATAAGTCTACGATAATGGAGTTGGCAGATATACGTATGGTGGAAATGGTAACCAAAATAATTTAGTAATTTATATTAATCTATCAGTATTTATAATTTATACAAAAAGGTACAATTTATCATAAAAAATACTGATGTCTGAAAAACTAATCGTTGGAATTTCGATTTTATTATATCAACATATCCAGAAAAATTTTCGGCCAAGCCAAAATAACTAACAGTAAAAAGAGGAATTCTAAATTTGAAATTATTTGTATCACTGCGGAACACTCATCCTTAATTAGTCCAAAAATAGAAAATATGATCTTTGAACGAAATTCGTTGTTAAATGAAAAAAATGGAATAAGCATGTTTGGTGATTCAACCCTGTTTAAAAATAATCATTATAACTATAGATTGGTAGTTAGCTTAAAATAAAAATGTTTGAGCATTRATTTTTTGATGATAGAGAAAATTTTAAAAAATTTTTCAAAAAAATATAGCTTTAAATTACGCGTACAATTACATAATTATCTATTCCATATTTATATCATCACATTTAAACTAATTCTTAAATGATATGTATTTTATATTTTGTTAGGTAAATACTATGTTACCTATAGATACTATTTATAGTATAAATTTTATACATACATTATTTATATGTACTTTACATAATATGTTATTAATAACTTACATTGAACATCCAATGTTATTTTGGTTTCGACATAATGGTGGTTAAATGTTTTGATGACCGGATTGTATGCATGACAAACTAAAGTTGATTCGTTGTCGTCATTTTCATTAATAACTGTAGATTTTGGACCCCAAAGTATGAAACTTAGAATACTTGTGGTCACGACYAATTCATCTTTGTCTGTCACTATTTCTGGTGTCTGGAAAATAAACATAAAATATTATTCCTTTGCACCTACCTACTTAATATCAATTAACCACACATTTTATTAGTTATCGTYACAAATACGATGTACACTTGTGGTWAGTATTTTATTTTATACTCATTAAAATAATTCTGAACAAGGATAAAATAGAAGACCTTAATCTTTTGTTTAATATTACATTATCCCTAAAAATAATCGTAACAAAAACTCAATTCGATAAAAATAATAAATAATAATAAAAAGGAACTACTGAATTTAGATTGATGTCTACTTCAAATTATATGGATCATAAGATAGGTAGGTACTACATAGTTATCTAATATTGAAATTTGTAAATAAAAATTAATATTGATACCTTCGTATCATGTTAATTGTAAGTAAATTATTATTAACATATGGTATGTGTCACGGTTTGGTTTATAAAATAAAAAACTAACTATCAATTGTCCAACAAATAATGTGACTTAATACCTAAAGTTATTTTTTTATTTCGATATTACCTACGTATTTATTTTYCGTAAAATATTAAGTCAAACGATGTTGTGAAACGTTTTTCAACTTAAAATTGTACAAAGCTACTTATTCATATAAAATATAGGTACTCTATTGGTGCTTATGTAATGTAAAYATTATTTRATATTTTTGAAACAGCATCGAAGAAAAAAATTAAYATCACATTAAAAGTTCAAATATAGCGAAGGTTAGGAAGTATAAATTGAATGACATACAATAGAAGTTCATCGACGTAAACTTTTCGTATGCTATTATAACTTATGTTTTTGAACTTAGAAAATAATAAACCACCAAAAATACTTAAAGTACGAAGGCAATTTCGTAATATGCAGGTGTCAACCATATTGTGAACGTACCAAAATAAATACAATTTATATGATATGTACAAGATACAACATAATATTATATAAACTTTACCCTAATGTTTTGTAATGCTTGTAAATTATATACAGTATAACTTTTAATACATATTTATATTGTTCTAACATAATATCCCTATTTATTATGGATTATTACCTACGAATGGACAGAAATATGTATTTATTTAAATAAAAATAAATCATTTGATTGTATAATGTGAGTGGCAATATTTAAAATAATTTTAAATGATTAATTTCTTAAAAAATATGTTCAAATATGTTTTGTTTTATTTAATCCTAAGCTTCAAAAACAATGGCTATCAGCTAAATTTATAATTATTTACTTTATTTTATAATACCTAAATTGAATTCGTAAAATTCTATTTGTCGATATTTTATAGTCCAATGATTTCATAATATAATTGGTCTACAGGTATTTTGTTTTTATTCTTTTTTAATCGTAACGGAGACATTACATATTATGACTGTCGTTAAGTATATAATTATATGTTAAATTGTTTCATGGGTTCCGCATATTGGACATTTGAGGGAAAGTATTTAGTATGCCAATTTTATTATTAATCTTATTTTGTAAGTTTTAGTTGATGGGCTATTTCGTAGATTATTTATGTTATTTCACTTGACTTTGAGCTTGGTTTTTTCCCCGTTATTCATTCCATTCATTTTGACACACTGGAAATTGAAGTTTTTACATATATCAATGAAAATATTTTTATTTTATTTGTAATAATACAAATATGTAATATAGTCAAATAAAATGTACATACGGTTTGTAWGGCAAAGGTTATTAATTTATTTGTTCTATATTATATATATTTTTCTATATCGAATATAAAATATTTTTTGTAAAAAAAAATAGAGTATGTAGTTCGTCCTTTGATGCAGCATAACTTGATTTCCTTACGGGAATAATACTTCGAGAAGGGAAGTTAAAGAAAGGAATTCAAATTGAATAAACGTAAAGTTATTAATAAAGTAATATTTGTTTTTACTTTTTTTTTTTTATCTGATGACGGTGACCCACTTTTAAAATTAAAATGTTACCCATGGGTCTTGTCTCAAAGAAAAATAAAAGTMAAATCATTGATAATTTTAGTCTTGTTCGGAGATTTTATGCATAAACGGAAAAGTTCTATTTCGTATGTGATATAGAAATATTATTATTTTATAATTTAAACCACAATACAGTTGTATTTATCTTTACCGCTAGTAAAGTATACTTCGTTGTGGCCGTGCGCTGGTACTATATTATGAAAATACAATAAAAACACGTATATAATACGAACTCCGTTTTCCCGTCGCCATCACCGCAGAAACTCTAAAAACTTGTTCTTTATTTATTCACAGTCCGTCGACAAACATAATACACAACAAAGTTATGTATACACTCACCGCTACTACATGGGCGGCGGCGGCAACAGRGGCAGTGTAGGACTCGACGAGGTGGTAGCAGGCGGGTGGGCAATGAATATACATATATGTTTTCCCTGCTGCTGCTGCTGTTGCATAGTAGGTTTGTTTGTTCAGGCCCCCTCGTCTTTTGTTGTATACGTTTTTCGCTACTGCCTCTGAGTTTTCCCGTAGAAGTATTATTGTTATTACTATTATTATTTGTTTACACCAACCCGTAAAACTCGCCAAAAACTACAGTATTTCTACTGCCGCTGTTGATTCGTTCGTTAAAAATGTTCGTATTTGTCTTAATATTATACAAAGTTTGAAAGCTTACTGTAATACACACACACACACACACACACACACTTTCATATACACGATATATATAGGTGCATATGCATACACACGTCCACACTCACCGGATGTTTGTTCGTCCGTACGCTTTACTTATACTTACTTGTGCGCAATACTTTATATTTTCTCAAAGCTTACTTTTTGCTTAGGCAACAGACAACTTTACATTACCCGTTTGGCGTGCCACGCTAGCGAAAAAGATGTTTGTTTTAAGCGGTGATCATCCGATGAATACTATCCGGTCGTGGTGCGTTTATCGCGTGTTTATTCGGATTTTTAGGTTGCTCGTGGACCAACCTACTCTGCAAACATCATATTTTTTGTTTTTTGTTCGTGTTATTATTGTTTCTCGAATAGTGCCCACGAACCGTAACAATATTCGTTTTGGTTTGCACATCCTATTCATCTTTATCGTACGAGTATAGCGATGTGCGTAAAACGTTCTGTATAATATAATTCTGTCTCGTAAATAACATCAATGTTTATCTACACTCACAGAACACATGTTTAGTTATTGTTTTGTAATTTTCATAGGTTTTTTGCGTACATTTTATTGTGGTTTACGTTTAACGGCTGAAAAACGAATTTATTTTAATAATGGTTTTACTTGTTTTTCTTCGTGGTTAGGTTAATGTTTACATCTAATTTCTTTATGATTCATGATTATATACCATGTCATTATACCTGAATGTGTTCTCA